TTTTTTTTTTTTTTTTTTTTTTTTTTTAAGAGAAAAGCAGTACATATGAAAGATGCCACTCCAAGTATTTTTGTGTTCTAATAGTGGAACTAAATGCATTATAATATTGCAAGCATCCCGGCAGCAGAGGTTTGGGGTGTAAACATGTTATATGTATCCTTTTGTGCTCTTAGGTTGGACTCCATGAAAGAAGTGCACAAAACAAACCGTCAGCAGCATGAGAAACATCTGCAAAGCCGCGTGGACTCCACCAGGGCCATTGAGAGATTAGAAGGGTCTTCTGGGGGTATTGGTGAACGGTATAAGTTTTTGCAAGAAATGCGAGGGTATGTCCAAGACTTGCTTGAGTGTTTCAGTGAAAAGGTAAGAATGCAACAATATTATCTCTTTGAATAAGGCAAAGTGAGGGAGGTCTAGACGGCCTGTGTAGGTCATTTCTGTATTGCTCAGGAAGTGTCCACTGAATCCGGCTATAGACGTGATGAAAAGTGCTGCTCTGGTGTCATTTATCCTGGGGGCCAATATGCTGTCTTGTTGAAAACAGAGAAAGATAACTCAGCCCCTTTATTTTTTATTTATTTTTGAAATATGTCTTTATTGATTTCAGAGAGAGGAAGGGAGAGAGAGAGAGAAACATCGATGAGAGGGTCATTGACCGTCTGCCTCCTGCACGCCCCCAACTGGGGACTGAGCCCGCAACCTGGGCATGCGCCCTGGCTGGGAATTGAACCTCAATCTCCTGGATCCTAGGTCAGTGACCAACCACTGAACCACCCTGTCCAGGCAATAACAGCCCCCTTAACAACCCTGGCAAGTCCTTCCTGAATCTAATGTAGATAATTGGCTGGCCCTGGATTGTCAGAATATAGGGGACTCATCTGATGGAATTTCCTTTTTATGGATCAGGTCTGAACTTATCTTTAAACTGTTTGTACAAGTAATTCCAAATATGCGTAAAGTTGCAAAGTATTATTAGTGTTTTTTTTTTACCCTAATGTTGCTCACCATTGCTGCTTGTAGTTTCATCTCAATAAGCCGGTGCTTCATCCATTTCAGAAACCTGTCATTAGGCATGGCTTCCTTTAGGTCTCCTTTCCTCCAGCTTCTCTTTTTTAGTGTGGTAGACTTTTAGTGTAAAGTTAAATTCTTTTTAGCGTGATTTACATTATAATTAGCTGCATAGAGAAACCCCTCTTTTTCTCAGATGACTTCTTAGTTGAATTTTTGTCTTTAAGATGAGTGTTATTTGATGAATTGGCTTGTAAGCATTTGTGGGTTTGCGGCCTTATCTTTAAAATGGGTTAAGGTGGTGGTGCTTTGGATGTCCTGTCTCTAAACTTTAGTGATGCAGGATAGAAGGCGCAGTTTCCCTTTTCTTGGCTGTGTGGATTGGCACGGACCTATCTGTAAGCATCTGGCTTGTTTAGATGCGTATTTTAACTTTCTGTTGATTACTTCGATACCCTAAACCCAAAGCCTGGCAGGAGAGCATGCTACTGTCTTCCTGATGGGCCTTCCTGGTTCTAGCCAGGCCATGGTCAGGCCCAGGCTGAGGCAGCATTCACCGGTCCCCTTTGTAGGACTTACCACCTGATCTGTGGAGAAGCAGTGACAACTGAGCTGTGATACATCCCTTGTGGCAGAACAGTGGCTCAGGGTGACAGTACAAGTGGGAAAGAAACCCAGGTTTGCCTCTATGCAGGGGTGATGTGTCAGAGCCGTAGGTCGTGTCTTTTCCTGCTAACAGAGCCCTTCGTTCCAGCAGGCATGGGGGAGCTGCTTAATAACCTGTGTGCCTAGCAGAAGGATTTTTGTCCTAAACCATGCTTGTGAGGGAGATTTGTCCCTGGGGAGCGTTCTCTGAAAGGATTTGGCCTTTGCTTTGGAACTTAACTCTAGTAAACCCTTAAAAAATGTTGACACTGATATGATCAACTAGATTTACAGCTCTTGAGGTAAAGAGACTCTACTAGGACATGTAGTTCATGTAGTTTCAGGTCTGTGTTCATTTCGTAGTCGGCTGTAAGTAACTGGTAGTGTGCTTTACCTGCTCGATCACCTGTCCCGGGCATCGGCTTCAGGCTGTGCTGTGTGGTGCAGAGGCACTGAGAGGACTGCTTCTGGAGCAGCTCTTAACCCTGCTGTGTTGTACAGTGACTGCATTTTAATAGAAAGGGGTAGATAATTCCTCTCTTATATTAACATGAGTATTTTATTTCACTTTGACATTTTCATATACATTCAATTTTAAAGGACTCCTACTGAGTGAGTAATGTCATCAACTCATCTGGATAATATTTAGGAACAATCGGATAGATTTGAGTATTCATTTTAGTTATACTGTAAAGACATGGTTTTGGGTTAAGACAATAAAATGAGAAGCATTACCTTTTTTTTCTTTTGGTATAAAAGTTTAAGTGGTTTTGAACTTAGATTTTTAATTATTTGTAGATCATCTTAACTTTCCATTGTTTTGGTTTCCTGTAGTTATTTTTTTATGTTCATCTTATATTTGGTCTTGGAATAACAACAGTTAATAATAACAGTTTTGAGTTTGGAGAGGTACAGAAATTGTTCATGGTGCATACTCTTGAGATCAGTAGTGTTGAGAAACGTGAGTGAGAGCTGAAAATGTGTGTGAGGGCTTTTATTCTCAGTAGAATTTTCTCTGGGTTTCGTTAAAGCCATTACAATTACCTGAGCAGGAAAGTTACATTGTCAAATTTTTAACTAAATTAAATTCTGTGCAATGCATTCACAGTCTCCAGACTGAAGGAATGTCCCTTAGGTACATAGGTGTAGCTGTCTTCAGTCCCGCATGGTTTAGAACAGTGAGGGGTCGGGAAGTGGGGGAGTCATGATGATACTACAGTGATAGCTTAAAAAATTGATTATAGTAAATTTTAGAGATAGTCTTTGGGCTCAGCCATCAAAGATAACCAGTGCAGATTTGGGGACCTGTTGCCCATGGAGTGGCATGTTAAAGAATAAAGTAACCCCATCACTTGGACCTTTCTGTGAACATTGGCTACTTTTGCAGTGGAATCATGCCAGTTAGTGTGTACACTTGCTTTTATTGCAGACATCTTTATATCCCACCTGCTTTTATTTTCCATTTGCAGTCTGTTCAGCTCAGGAAGTTGCTGTAACACTTGGTGACAGTGTTCCCAAGTTCTAAATAATGTCTTTTCCATTTGCACTAACCAGCAGGAAACTAGAATTTCTAGTTTTCTCAGGTATGTGTAATGTCTTAGCGTTTTGTGAAAATTTCATAGCATTTGGTTATAACATAAGGTCAAAAATTACGAGAACATTTTCGTTTTAAGATTTTTAAATTGATTTTTAGAGAGAGAGAAACATTGATGTGAGAGTGAAACATTGAACGGCTGCCTCCTGCACGCCTCTCACGGGGGATTGAGCCCGAAACCCAGGCATTTGCCCTGATTGGGAATCGAACCAGCAGCCCTTCAGTGCACAGGATGACACCCCACCAATTGAGCCACACTGGCCAGGGCTGCTGCTTTCTTTTTTAAGTTAGGTCTTATTCTGTAAGCTTTTGCATTCAGTGTGAACCATGGAAATGCTTAGCCATGGGTAGTAACCTGAAAAATCTTAGTGACTTTGTAAAATGACAATTGATGTGAAGACTTTCATTTTATTACAAAATGTGGAAATATTTAAACATTTGATGAGCTTTCTGAATTAGTGATAGCTAGAAATTTTATTTGCCGTATTGTGAATGAATCAAGTTTACATTTAAATGTGTAATAAAGCTGCAAAATAGTAAGGTCCATATGAGTGGCAGAGCAATTCCAGTGCCTAGAAGTAGGCAGTTAGTAGACTCCTGTTCTTACCTACTCAGAACCAGTGCAGTTTTTGGTATCACGGGGATAATAGTTTCTTTTAAACAAAAACTGCAAGGCAGATTGCTGCTGGAAGGTGAAAACTGGATGCTAGACTGCCAAGTGCTTTATACTGAAAGAAAAGCAATCAAACTTTTGACATTTCTTTACTAATAATTGACCTGCTAAGTTTCTTAACTGAACTTTTGCTCCAATAGCTAGGCACCGGACATTATAGCTCTATATTTGGATTAAAAGAAGTAGTTTTCCTAACAGCATAAAACTGCATTGCTGTCTGTGTCCCACTGGGAACTCATTATTATTCTGTCCATAGAGGGTACTTTTTCAGAAATCCGGAAATAGAATGGAACCCTCAAAAGAGCGAGCAGCTGAGGAGTTTGGTGTTACGGAGTGTGTTGTATTTTCACAGGTGCCACTGATTAATGAACTTGAATCAGCAATACATCAGCTGTACAAACAGCGCGCCTCCCGCCTTGTCCAAAGACGACAAGATGATATTAAAGATGAATCTTCGGAGTTTTCAAGCCATTCAAGTCAGTCCATCTTGAAGGTTTTTATTATTCATTAAACAACCTTGTTTACTTAGTGCAGCCTAACTGAAAGTTAGAGATCTCAGAGCATCTTTTTTTTTTTTTAAATGAATGAATTCCCTTGCTCTTGAGTTAGGTAGATCTAAACCTTGTACAGCATGTATTTGGGTTGTGTTTAAGAACATTCGCTTTGCAGAGGAGCTCAGAACCTGTTCTGTATGCCATCAGTCTTACTCCTGGACCTTTTTTATTCTGTAGAGTTAGACCAGACATTACAGTGTTTTGTCTTGAAACCACTGTCTGTTGGGCTCTGATTGGTTTTTGCCCTGTTTTCATCCTGTCGATAGCCCCATTGCGAATGCTGCTGTTGATCGCAGGGAAAGAGTCAGGTCAGGGATGGGAATTTTGGAGGGCAGAGGGGTTTCATTACATAAATGAGTTTTGTGCTTCAGCTCTTGGATAAAGCAAAATTTTTTGTATTTAAAAATTGTATTTTGCAGTCTGTCTTAAATATACTAGGGTTTTTAGTAAGTCAGTTGATACCTACGTTTCTTGAAGTCTTAGTGTAAAAATTTAGAAATTGAATTTATATTATTTTCACTATGATGAGTGTTTTGGAAAGCCAAAATTTATTGGAAACCTCAAATTAAATAGTTCAGCTGAGATTCTTTAACGAGGTGTTTTAAACTTTTTGATCTCACTTTTCCCTTTGCTCTCCACATTGTTGGCTGCTCACATATAAATTTTCCCAGCATGGGGTCCTGCGGCTTCCTTTCTCATCTCTTTGTTCCCCTTGTCAGCAGTTCTCAGATGGAAACATGCATCAGAATTGCCCGTGGCATTAAAGTGCAGGTTTCCGGGTCCTTTCCCCAGAGATGCTTGCTAGGTCTTAGCTGGTGTCAGGTGACCTGCATCAACCACCCCGGGTCATCCGAGTGCAACAGGCCCTGGTGATACTCTTTCTGAAAACCATGTTTATCATATGAGGTCCCTGAGAAGGCATCCTCCGTGTGCCATTGTTTAGAGCATCATGGAGAGGTGGTAACATGCCCTCGGAGCCCAGTCAGACTCGGGTGGGAGCCATATGAGGAGTGTCTTGGACCTTTTATTTTTGCCCCCTAACTATAAATGGGAGTATTTCTGTATTGGGCACGTAAACGGCGAATGCATCCCTCCAAGATCATTTGTGATCCAGACAGAACCAGAATTTTGGGGCAGATTACAGGTAACCATTGCACCTATAAGGGGAAGTAATTTCCTTTTAATAGTAATGGTTTGTGTGAGCTGTGCATTTCATCAATGCCCTTTCCTACCTATAATCTGTTCTTTATAACTTGGAGCTGTTTACTTACATGGAATTAGAGGTAGGGTTGAATGATGATGTATGTTAACTAGATTGAGAGTTGGAAATAAATTGAAAGGTAATGAGAGAGTGAAAAATACTGCCCTAGAGGAAATATTAATTGCCAAAGATTTGAGGAAAATTACGTGGGGCACTGAAGTACCAATTCCATTTCTGATTTTTTAATAAAGAAACAAGCCTGGAGTTCATCTCTCTGGCCTTTTAAACACTTATCACAATGACTACATGTGGTTCTTAAAGTACTTCTTTGGTGAAGGATACCTCTTAAAGAGGCAGGCATTGCTCTGTGGTTTGGGACTTGTAGCTAACTCATCTGTGGCAAGCAGGGAACTCACATTTGACATGAAGCTGGGGCAGCTTGTACTGTGCTCATCTTTGTAATTTGTGAGCGCTGGAGCATCCTTCCTTGTATCTGAGGCATTCTGAAATATGAATGAAGAGCTCCGTAAGAAAGTCAGCTTTAAAAATACTAGGCTCCAAGATAGTGAGGCAGGGCAGAGTAGAGAGCTAATATTTTATTTTTCCTGTTGCTACTATTGGTGACACATCTGGGAGGAAAATATGTGAAAGCCTTTCATGTAGCATGTGATTTCTCCCTCTAACCCTTGGGTTGTTTACTTTGCTGGTGCGATGCCGTAAGAATTGAACTCTTGCTAATGTCAGTTAGCCTCTGGTAAAACTGGTCACAGAACCAGTGGACGATGTTAGTGGGACCTACTATGTTTCAGAGTATCATCTTAGTGTGGAGCTGAAATGTAGAAATGAGGGGAGGATTGCAGACAGACGTTCCCCACTCCTCCTACCCAGGGCAAGAGATCAGAGGGCTTCTCTGGAGACAGAATGGGTTCGGAGAGAAGAGCCTGAGACACTAACAACCTTGGGCCCCCAGCAAGAGTTGAATTTCTACCCAGCGATCTGATGGAGATGGCTCCGTCAGACAGTTCCCACCTGTGTCCACTGATGTCCAGTCTTCTTTATGTGAGGTGGCTAACAGTCATCAGAGAGAACAGCCCAGGCAGTGGAGCCCGAGGGACAGAGGAAACAGTCAGTGCAGATGGCAGGTCAGACATAACTGACCTCGGAGGAACAGAAGGTCCATACGTAAGACAAGTAGAGGGAGGAAAGGAGTGTTCTGAGGACAGGAACCACCTCTAGGAAACTGAAAGTGTGCTAACTGAACTGTAAACTTAAATAGGCAGGTTTGAAAGTAAAGCTAAAAAATTACTCCAGAAAGTTAAGAAAGGGAGGTGGAAAATAGGAAAAAAAAGAAATAAGGGAACTGCTTTAGAAGGGTGGTGATTGAGGGAGCACAAGTTGGTCCTGTTCAGACAGTTTTCAGTCCACGTTGTTTCTGCCCTTGTTCTAAAAACAATTTCTACAACCAAAATTAGAGTAAGAATAGTTATGAAACTCCAACAAAGCTGTTTCCTCCTCCTGTCCTTGTTTCTTTCCTGTTGTTTCATGTCATTCAACATGAGATGCTTAAGTTCTTTAAGACGTAACCTCTTACTTTCCACAGGTAATGTGGGCTTTTAATTTGTTTGATCATCACGATAGCATCAGCTCTGTTACTTACACATAAAAACAGGGATTAGATCCAGTTGAATCTCTGTAGGGTTGTGAACTTACTTCTCTACTCCTTTCCTGGGAACACAGAGACGAGATTTGCTCTAGACTAGAAGGTGGTCTGGGTTTCGGGTTATGGCAGACTCTGCTGTTGATGTCGAGATTAGCAACAGTCTGTCATTGTGGCTGATTCTGTGCAAACTCTTTCCTCAGGATGGTCGAAGGAGGTTTTTTAACTGGAACCATTGTTGTTTTACAGATAAGGCTCTGATGGCACCTAATCTCGATTCCTTTGGACGGGATCGGGCCCTGTATCAGGAGCATGCAAAGAGGCGGATTGCGGAGCGGGAGGCCAGGAGGTAATTTTGGAAGTGCTTGCCACGGTTGGCTAGTGCGGGAGGCATCTCATTGATCTGGTTGGGAACTCAGTGTTTGTTATTTAGGACACGTCGACGACAAGCCAGAGAGCAAACCGGCAAGATGGCAGATCACCTTGAAGGCCTTTCCAGTGACGACGAAGAAACGTCTACAGATATCACAAATTTCAATCTGGAGAAAGGTCAGACACTTTCTTGGAAATGAGATTCCTTGTGTTTGGTTTCCGCTGGGTGTGGCTTTACTGTGAAGGGACCCTGTGAAGGTTTGTGGCCTGTATTAGAACCAGCACTTTCTTCCTAATTGTAGAAACTTGCACTGTTTTCACTACTGAAAGTCATGATGAGTTCTCAGAAATAGTATGAGTCTTGTCATGGGGCTTACTGAGTCCTTGTGTGATAAATGGTGCTGCTCTGCAGAGCTACAATCTTAAGTGATCAGAAACTGTCAGGTCCCAAGGGCAGCGTGTGGTCTGGAGAGGTAGAGCTCGGTGGCACACATGCGGCCCCGGAGGAAACGCCTGATTTTGGAGCCCTGAGTAATTTCTCCACGAGGAGCAGTTAGTCTGTCACATGCCAGGCTTTTCCAGAAGGGCCCCCAAGGAGTCCTCCTTTCTTGCCACTGGCTGTGATGATTTAACTATATTGGCTGCAGACATCTGGGAACTCAGTTGGAGAAGCTTATTTTTCTTCCACTTTTCTATAGTGAACATTTCTAAACATGCAGAAAATTTGAAAGAATGACACGATTACCCGTGTACTCGCCAGCCAGACTCACAGTTTCTGTTGCCTCTCCAAGTTTGCTGTTCATCTGCGGGGATGAGTGTGTTTTGTGGCCCATTTGAAAATGACTTCCAGACATCCCTCTAAAAACCTGAGCGTGTGTCTCCCAAAAACAAGGATACTTCTCTACCTGATCACAGTACCATTGTCACACCTAAAAAATTAAAACTTCTTAATATCCTGTCTGTTCAGTTTTCCTCAGTAGCAGCCCCCACAAAACTTTATGCTTTTTTGGTGGGTTATTCTGTTTTCCAAACCAGGATTCACACAGCTCCTGCCCTGAATTTGGTTGTTAGGGCTTTTTATCTAGAATTAATGACTGTCCAGGAGGACCTTACACATCCCCACCCCCCCACTCCCCGGTTAATCCACCTGTTTGTTGAACACATTCACTTTTGAAGAGACCAGGTCACTTGTCTTGCAAAGCATCCTACCTTCTAGATTTGCTTGTTTCCTTGTGGTATTAGCTTGTTCTCCTGTCCACTGTATTTCTTATAAACTGGAATTTGGGTCTGAACTCTTGATTAGATTGAGATTATTATTGACAAGAATACTTCATACAAGATGCTATTTATCACTACATAATAACAGATTACAAATGTTATGTTGTTCCACTATTAGTGATGTTAAGATTGACCTGTTTGTCACAACCAGGTGTCTCCATTATAAAGATCTCCCTTTCCCAAGTCATCGGGCATCAGTTGGCCTCTTACCTAAAGATCCTGGCTTCTATCACTGACTTGTCTCTGTCAGTCATTGCAGTCACCAGCTGACTGAGAAAGAAGTGATACTATTGGCCACTGGTCCTGATGCACATGTTACTGACATAGTGATTTGTGGACCGAAGAGCTAGCAGCAAAGTTGGTACTTTATGTAATTGCTAGTGTACCGTGGTTACTGAAGTTTGAACTGAATTGTTGAGGGGCAGGCGTTATTTAACTAAATTGGGTAACAGAAAGTGGTACATACTGGAACCATGCAAAGGAAACAGCACCTGCACTTTGGATTGAAACCTAAACTGCCCTGTTTGTCCTATCTTTTAAACTGTAATTAACAACTATTCCCTCAGTAATGAGCCTTTTTTATTGCTACGCAGGCTGTAAAGAAAAGGCTGACAACATTGAACTGTGTTTATTCCAGCACATCCTAAATCACGGTTCTTGGTGGGGTTTTATTGTTTTTAGATCGCATTTCCAAAGAGTCCAGCAGGGTTTTCGAAGATGTCCTAGAGAGTTTCTGTTCGATCGACTGTATTAAGTCCCAGTTTGAAGCATGGCGCTCAAGATACCACGCGTCCTATAAGGACGCTTACATTGGCCTGTGCTTGCCCAAGTTGTTCAACCCCCTCATACGGCTGCAGCTGCTCACCTGGACTCCTCTTGAGGTGGGTGCCTTCTGTCACTCTTAGAAAGCCTGTAGCGTGTGCCTGGGTAATTCCAACCCAGAGCTAGAGATGTCAGCTTAAGCTAAATATTTTTCAAGGCAGGTAGCGTGGAGGCTATAGCTGGTCCCGATTGCAGCTGCCTTCATTTGAGGACCTTCTTATGCTCTACCCCTCCTCATGAGAGCTATCTGTTGCTTTTCAATTTATGTGCAATGCCTTAGTCACCTAAATTATATATAGTGACACCTGAACTAATGGGTCAGTGGTCATGGAAATTGGGAGGTGGCACAAATTGATAAATCTAGGAGGTGGAATCAGTAGGGCCTGTTGGCCTCGTATCTAAGAGAGGAGACGAGTTTACTGTGTATGTCTAGTGGTCACGTTTAAGATATGGTTTCGGAAATTACCAGCATATGGATGGAGCCATGGGCATGAACGGGATTGGCTGGGCTGAATGTGTAAACTGTAGTGAAAAGAGGGTTGAGGCTGAAGCTGTGGAGGTGATGGGGGAAAATGTGAGCTCTAGAACCACTCAGTGAACCCTTTGCTCTTTGCCAGACCTTGTGGACTTTCCCCCTTTGCGTGGGTGTGTTAGTACACAGCATAGGCTCAGGAGGGCTGTGTGCATTCTGTGTGCCTATGTGTCTTAGTACATGCTCTTGAGGACTCTGTGCATTCTGGAGTTCTCCAAAAGTAGCTCCCTCCTCTGCCCCACAGCTCCCAGAGTCTCAGTCTCCCTGAACCCTGTTTCTGTTCCCTGAGTTCAGGATGCCTTTGCTCAGCTTGCAGTCCCCCCGCCGCCCTTCTGATGGGCAGCTCACTCCACCCGATGCCCTTCTTTCAGGGGTCCAGTCCTGCACTGCCTGTGCTGCGTTGTCTGAAAACATGTTTCCGATATTTTGTCCAGTTTTGATTTGTTCATGACTAAAGGTTAAATCCAGGTCTTACTACTCTTATGTCTGCTAGTGACAGCAGCAGCCGCCGTGTTAAACGTGTTTGGGTAACTGTTTTAATCTCCTGCAGGCCAAATGTCGGGACTTTGAGACTATGCTGTGGTTTGAATCTCTGCTGTTCTACGGCTGTGAGGAGCGGGAGCAGGAGAGGGAGGACGTGGATGTCGCACTGCTGCCCACCATTGTGGAGAAGGTGATCCTCCCTAAGCTCACAGGTAGGGCTTCGGACGCATCGGCTGGGGTTTTCACATCTGTTTGCTGGGGTCTTTTTAAAAAAAATGTGTCTTTATTGATTTCAGAGAGGAAGGGTGAGAGAGGGAGAGACATCAATGGTGAGAGTCATTGCTCTGCTTCCTGTAGGCCCCCTGCTGGGGAGGGAGCCCGAAACCCAGACATGTGCACAGTCGAACCTGGAATGGAACCATGAGCTCCTGGTTCATGGTTGGACGCTCAACCACTGAGCCACGATGGCCGGGCTTTAGGGATTTTAATCTCAGGATGTTTCTTCATAGAGATTACATTATACACTACATTTCATTATAAATGATAACGATACCACTGGCCCAGGGACAGCTAATGGGTAGATACATGTCTCTTTACCTGGTACGTGAAGACCACTTTTGGGTGGGCCTGGAGTTAGGAGCAGTCATTGATCTGCTGTTGAATTTGAAGACCCTTTAAGACTACCTGAAGCAAAGCATAGATTTGGGGACATATGTATTGTTCTGGAGAGCAACTTCATTACTTTCAACAGTGTCTCACAAGAGATTAGAAATCACTGATACAGGAACTGATTTAAAGTATTAAAAATAGGTTTCAGCTTTAGTTAGAAATTCTTGGTGCCGGGATAGGATTTCTTAGGATATTGACTTCTTTCCCCTGTGTTTATTTTTACTGATTAGCAGAAACTAGAGGAATCTGCCCCCTCCACTTTGCTAATCCTCAGCATTCCCAGTTAATTGGACAAAGACTTATACTTTACAGAGGGACTTATAGCCCAGCCGGTCGTGGCTTAGCAGTTGAGCGTCGACCTAGGATCCAGGCGATCGGGGTTCGATTCCCGGTCAGGGCATATGCCCAGGTTGCGGGCTGCAGCTGATCAATGACTCAANATCCAGGCGATCGGGGTTCGATTCCCGGTCAGGGCATATGCCCAGGTTGCAGGCTGCAGCTGATCAATGACTCAATCATCAATGATGTTTCTGTCTCTCTCTCTCTCTCCCTCTCCCTCTCTCTGAAATCAATAAAAAGATATATTAAAAGAAAAAAAAAAAAGAGAGAGGGACTTATAAGTGAGGACTGCTGGCATCAGGTGGGTCAACTGTGGTTCACCCCTGTGCTCATGCTCTCCCTTCTCTTAATAGTGATCGCCGAAAACATGTGGGACCCCTTTTCCACAACCCAGACTTCAAGGATGGTCGGAATTACGTTAAAATTAGTAAACGGGTACCCTTCAGTAGCGAATGCAGAAAACAAAAACACTCAGGTAACTTAACTATTGTCTTGGAAAGGTTTTTGTGTTTTCTCCCTGTCATTTTGGAAGTGAGCAGGAGCTGAGAGAATGAGAGGTAATGTTCCAAGTCAGCTAGAAAGTCGACTCTCCCACTTGGGCTGTGAGCCTTCATAACGCCTGGAACACACGGGATGTGAGGTGGTAGTTTTCGGGTCTAGGGTACCTACCTTGGTAGGACGCCATAACGAACCTACACAGCCTCTTAGTTTTACTGTTCTCACCCTTTTTACCACCCCACCTAATTCCTAGTCGGACTGATCAAACATTCCTGTAAGAACTATTTTTAGGAAAAAGGAAAATGTAAAACTACTAGAATGGGTAGTAATTGATTATTTAAGTGCTAAAACATTTAAATAGCATGTAAAATGACTAGGTATTGTTTTATAACTAGTTTCCAAACTTCACATTGCTGCTGCCCCTCATGGGACATTCTTAGGAGCTGTAGACAGAAGGTGCTCTTACCCTTGGTCTATTTCCAGTGATGCATTTTGAGCAGAACCAGGTTTTGTGTTTGATCTTAAATCTTTGCATAGATTGAGGGGTTGAAAAGTTTCTAAACGGCTTTACTGCTTTGTAATTATTGCGGGTGAGCTAATAGAATGGCAGGTCCTGGAGTCGTCAGGGCTTTCAGTGAGGAAAGTGCAAACTTTGAGTAGAGAGTCCACCCAAAATTGAATACTTAGTTCTGTGATTTGGAATGCTGCTTACTTTAGTTTCTTAACTTTTTAGTGTTATCACAACCATTATCACAGTGTGGGATCTATTTTTACCTCTTTAGGTATACCTGAAAGCCCTTTTATTGAGAATGAGAAGAACTTTAGATGATGATGTATTCATGCCCTTATATCCCAAAAAGTAAGTTACTCCTAAGAACGTTTACCATGGAATAGTTTCCATTATCTTCCAGAGAAGGCTTCTTAAATTCTGGAAAAATGAATGGTAGCTTGAAATACATACTTGACCTCTGTAGAGGAGGAGACTAGCTCGGTGGGGACAGGCTCCCTTCAGCAGAATAAAGCAGATGAAGCTCTCTGTTCTCCCTCAGTGTCTCGTAATAAATTCCTACTACTTTTTAAACTTATCTTCTGGAATATAGTTTGAAAATTTTAAAATATTACTTAATTCTTTTGCTTACCCATTTTAGTTGTAGGAATACTCTCTCCTAGGAACCATGTGGTACTGTGTATATATAAAGCATGAACGTGGTGTGTTTCTCTTTCAGTGTCTTAGAAAACAAGAACTCTGGACCTTACTTGTTTTTTCAACGACAGTTTTGGTCTTCAGTTAAGGTATGTATCTATAGAGTATCTGGAAGACTTCAGATTTGCTTGAATATGTGTATATATATATATATATATATATATATATATATGTTTATACTTATATTTGTATTTAAACATATCTATTGATTTCAGAGAGAGGAAAGGAGAGGGAGAGAGAGATAGGAACATCAGTGATGAGAGAGTCTGATCAGCTGCAGCCCGCAACCAGGGCATGTGCCCTGACCGGGAATCGAACCCCAATCTCCTGGATCCTAGGTCTATGCTCAACCACTGAGCCACGCCCTGCCGGGCTGCTTGGCTATATTTTGAAAAGTATTTTTATTGATTAATTCTATAGGCTTAGATCTATGTGTATATACAAAGTGTCCATTTTGCAAAATAATTTCGTTCCAGAAGTTCGTTCAGGTTTGATGTTTCCATAGGATAAAATGAAGTAAGGCCCAGGCTTGTCAGCAAAATGCCTTGCTAACCCACAGTTTATTCAGAAACTAGAGGAGCGGGTCCTCTTCTGAGTGTGGGGAACAAAGCTGGGTGAGGAGAAGTGGAGCCTGAGTCCGCAGAGCTGACTTATGGGAGAGAGTGGTCTCAGGTGTGGCAGAAAGTTGAGGTGGTGTGGAGCCTGTGATGGGCACAGAGGCCCAGGCTAGGGAGTCACTGGAATTCCTCTTTCAGCCTGAGGAGGTGATATTTAGGTCATTAGACCAGAGGATTCAGTAGAGTTGGTCCTGAGGTGGGGGGAGGGCTCACTAGAAGAACTGAGGAAAGGCAGGTTTACAGAGAATGAGGCAGGAGCCACTCGGTCATTTGGGGAACTTTGGTCTACATACGTAACACTTTTTAGTGTATGTCCTGTCAGTTTTGATGAATGAATTAAGTCTCATAATCACTACCCAAATCAAGATACGCATAACACTTCCATTGGGTTATATACACCCCTTTGTAGTCAAGCCCACCCTGCACCCTGGACACCCCTTTTTATGGGTCCTCTGGTTTTCTTTGCAAGAATGGAAATTACGTAGACTCATGAATGGAATTCCATAGCCGGTAGCCTTTTGAGTCTGGCTCCATTCACTTAATATGATGCATTTGAGATTTTTCAGTGTTGTGTATTGTCAGTAATTCATTGCATTTTATTGCTAAATAGTATTCTATTTATAGATATACCACAGTTTTTTCGTTGTTTTTTAAATCCATTCCTCAATTGAGGGATGTTTGGATTGTTTCCAGTTTGTGGTAGTTGTGAATAAAGCTGTCCTCAGTGTTTGCTCACAGGTTTTCCTGGGTGTGAGTTGTCATGTTACTTGGGCAAACATCTAGGCAAAGCTGGGTTCCAGTCCGGCTGTGCACCAGTGTTCTGGCTGCTCAGTTCTCTGTACTCNTTCTGGCTGCTCGGTTCTCTGTACTCAGCGCACAGCACACTTGTTGCTGCCAGGGGTTTTGTTTGCTGTTGAAGTCGTCTGTTAGGTGTGTAGTGTATCTCGTACGGTTGTAATTTGCAGCCAGCTCCCTAATGACTGATGGTGCTGAGCATGTTTTCAAGTGCTCATTTGCCACCTGTGTGTGTAGTTCGGTGAAGTATCTGTTCAAATCTTTTGCCCATTTTTTTAAATTGGGTTTTCTTATTATTGAGCTTTGAGTTCTATATCTGGGATATAAATCCTTTATCGGATACCTGATTTGCAAAAGGTTTTCCTTTTTCTGCAGTCTTCGGCTTGTCTTCATTCTCTTAACAGTCGTAAAAGCGCAGGAATGCTTAATTTTGATGAATTCCAGTTTATCGCTTTTTCCTGTAATGGTTTGTGCTTTCAGTGTTCTAAGAAATCTTTGCCTAACACAGGACACCAAGCTTTTCTCTTATCCTTTTAGGGTTCCATAGTTTTAGGCTTTACATCTAAATATTACTTCTCATATAGGATGTGAGGCCTGGTTTGAAGTTGGTTTTTCCTGCACTGTTCTGAAAAAGCTATTCTTTATTGTGTTGTTTTTGTACCTTTGAGGAAAGTAATTGATGTGTGTGGGTGTCACAGAAAGGTTTTTATAGCAGGAAGTTACGGGAGCAAATCTTTGGAGATACTGGATTGAAGTAGGTAAGGATATTAGTAATGAAGGTTGAAATTAGTTTTTATTGTATATTTAACCGTGAGCCAAGCATTGTGCCACATTCCATATAGGTTATCCTGTGGACTTCTCCTAGTGGCCCCATGAGCTGTTCCTCTCACTACTGATGGGACAGTGAGGCCCAGGGTCATTTCAGTGGTGAGAGGTCGAGGTGGGACTCTAACTTGGGCAGCCGACTCTTGAGCAGTTTTTCTCAGCGCAGGTTTTGTGAAAGAATTAATCCCTAATGCCCCAAGGTCTCCAGGAAATAGGATGAATTCTCTGTTCTCACCTAGAACATTCATAGCTGTGCACTGTCCTTGGGAGAGCTAATCACCCAAATCGTTTTCTGCAGGCTTAGCTCTCCAATGGGCCCTGCTTGAGAGACCCTTCCAGAGCTCTTAGTCACTTGAGTAATTGCAGAGTCCAGGAGGAAATGACAGAGGGAACTGAGAAATGCGCGGAATGGGTGGAGGTGGGGTCAAACCCCTTTCAAGGGAGAGCTCGAGAATGACAGCCAGGCTTCTGGCCTGATCAGTTAGTTGGATAGTGTTACTATTCACTGAGTTGTGAAATACTGGGAAACAGAAATTTTAATGGTGGGATGGTGGAAGCCCCTACTTAATGATAATGGTGCCCATTTCCTATGTTGTGAGCTGGAGTAGCTTGAGATGTCAGAGTGATGAATCTCAGTCCAGGTTCCTGAGATGTGGTAAACATCATGTTGGAGTCAGAGTCGATGTCTTCTAGGGAGGTCACAGGACTGGCTTAAGCCTGATTGTGAATGGAGGACATTTATCTGAAGATTAGCACTTGCCGAATAGTCCTTTCTTTGATGAGGGACAGTGTTCTGTATCTGTGCTATCCAATACAGTGGCCACAAGCTACATGTAGCTATTTAAATTTGTTAACTAATTAAATTTAAATTAATTAAAATTTGAAATTCAAATGCTTGGTCATTCTATAAAATATTTGGGCCCTTTAAAAGTGCTTATTAAGCCCTGGCCAGTTTGGTTCAGTAATTAGAGCGTTGGTCCCCAGACTGAAGGGTCCTGGGTTCAGTTCTGGTGAATGGCACATATCTCAGTTGTAGGCTCCGCCCCAGTTGAGGCATGAACAAGAGGCAACCAATTGATG